AACCTCGTTAAACCAGTGAAATTATATTTATAATAAATCGGCGTATGTGAAATATTGCATTTTTTTAATATACGCAACAGGTACTGCTAAATATATAAAATAATTAAATATAAAACTTGGTTACGAATACTTAATTTTATAGTAGTGGTTATTACGAGTTATAGCTCAATAAACTGTTAATTATAGTAAATTAAATTTCTGCTGCAGTGATATGAACTAAACCTTCCAGTTCTAACTATTATAAATTCCAGTGTGTTCTACTATAAATACTGTTTGAACAACTAAATTAAAATATACAGTGATATAAACAAAATATAAACAATTAAAAAATATTTACAACGGAAAAAATAATAAAAGACAAGTATATTATAGTAAAATAACAATTTTTAAATAAGTGTTTGAACGTCATATTCACTGTCCTCGTCATTGCCAAAATCACTGTCGTCAGTTTGAAAAGTTATAATGACCGGCTCTAATACACTGTCTATTAGTATCTCCTTCTGATAATCTTCATCCTGGATTGTCTCAGCATGTTTGACGCATTTTTCCCAGTCACTCTTGGATACCAAATCCAATGCCTCGTGAGTGACGTCCACCATTTTAAACGTTGAACTTTTTTTTGCCACTTCGCCTTTTACTTGAGCCCATATAAGTTCAATGGGGTTATACTGACAATGGTACGGTGGCAGTCGTACTACTTCATGGCCCATTGAACTTGCTATTTCATCTAGCTCGTACTTTTTAAATGTCGGTTTTAACAAATTCACACGTTCCCGTAGTTCGGCTAGAGTTTCCAAAGGTAAAAAATTAATATTTTGATTTTTCAGCCATTCCTGCACCTCAGCTTTTCGAGCATTACAATTTGGATAATTGTTTACCAACATAGAATGATAGGGTGCATTATCCATAACGATTACGCATGGTTCAGGAAGTAGTTTTAGCATATCTACAAACCATTGTTTAAACACATCTGAATTCATAGACGAATGGTAGTCAGTAGAATTTTCAGCTCGGCATTTAAAAACAAATTGCGTGAGTAATTATTAGGCGACCTCCTTTGCCGGTTGGTATTTTAAATCCCTCAGTTACTTCATTATTCTGCCAAATATGAGACCTTGAATGATTTTGGTTTACCCAGGTTTCATCTAGGTAAACCACAGGTCGGGTATCTTCATTCTGTCTGAGTGTACACATTGTACGTAAAAATTTACATCGTAAAGCGACTATATCGTTTCGCTCCATAAGCATTTTGCGGCCATTATTGCATTTCTTAAACGTAAATTTTAAATTTTTAACAAATTTCTGACCGACCGGACGCATCCTTCATAATGTGGTAATTCTTTTTTAATTTCGCTTAAAATTGAAAAAGCAATCGGATATTCATTTCTTTCATAAAATTCGTGTACGATCCGTCGGACTACATCAGCATCGAAATCGTCCAGCTCGGAGCATTTCTTTGCACGTTTGTACAATTTACGAGGTGATTGAAATTGCACTTCTTCATCACTATCCACTGAAGATTTATTTGCCTCCATACATATACGCCGCACAGTTATATACGAAGTACCACAAGCCTGAGCAGCAATTTTTTGTGCGCTTTTAAAAAAATCTGAATTCAAATCTTTTTTTTCCGAACACATTTTAATAAAATTGTAAACATTAAAAATTATTTTCTTACTCTGACTATGAGTATCACGATCTTTAAACGACATTTTTAAGTTTTAATACAAATATACTACGGTATTCAATGACTATTACACGACGCGCACGAAATACGTGTTAACAACAAGGTGTGTAAACGATAGACCACGAAAAAAATGTACTATATAAGGTGGCTGGTATAATATAAATCCCCTTCCTAAATCTATCCCAACAAAAGAGGGTCTGGAATGTTATAGTTTGTATTCCTGCTGCCTGAGGGACACGATCTGTAACTTGACGGTTACAATTGTTACCACTCACTTTTCAAATACAATAAAGTAGGTACAGCGTGTAGCAGCACGACAGCTGCACTATGTTGAGAATCATTGACCGTAAGAGTGGGTAAAAACAACGGGTCGCGGTACCAACGCTCATTTTTCGTTGCCGCGACTATAGTACATTATAGTAAATATCACTAACATTATAGCTATCCCTATAGCAATTATAAAATACTGTTAAATCTACTATTTTAATAGTGGGTTGAACTGTTTTGTTTTTTCCGTGTATCGGTTTGCCTTCTTCTTTCCCATAACTTTTGTTATTTGTTTTTCTATCTTTTCGTAGCTCTTTTCTACTTCTTCATCGTTTGCTTGTGTTGTGGGAATATATGCTTGTATTATTGCGATGTCATTAGGAACAGATTTTAATTTGATCAATATCAATCTATCATCGAAAGCAATGTGACTTTTCACACATTGTGCCCATTTTTTATTCAGAATAATGCCAACTCCATTTCTTCCATTATCACCACCGGAGTAGATGAATCTGTAGTCTCCCGATATAAAGTCACCTTGACCATTCCATCTCATTTCACTTATCCCCAAAATATCAATTTTGAGACGTTTCATTTCAATCTTTAGATTTTCTAGTTTCCCTGTTTGCAAAAGGGTTCTGAAATTCCATGTTCCTATCATACTACAAGGATTTCGCTTGGTAACGACCTGTGGTACCTTGTTTGGCCTCCTGCCGGGAATAACCTCTCCGATAAGGTTGTTTCCATACATTATATCATTTATTGTGCTGGTCATTTGTTAATTGACTAAGGAGATTAATGTGGTGGTTTCCTCTTGCCTTCCACATTGCAGTGTAGTAGCCGTGTTCACGGTATCCATGTACGTCTACTACTTCTACCTGGCTATAGCTGTACCTGCTTATGAAGCATCCACCTATAGCCAGTATTGAAGGCACTGCTGCTCACCTTCAGGTCCATTTTAGTCGCCTCTTACGACAGACACGGACTACTGTAGGTGTATTCTGCCCCCCCCTCACGGGGGTAAAATAATACCTTTCCCATAATACGATTCTTAAAACAATGTATACATATTATATAATACTGCATAATTTTTTTAGTAAAATCTAAATTTAAATTATCGTTAGAGTAAATAACAGAGTTTAGAATAACTTTTATATTAGTTAATTTACAATGTTCAAAAAGACTTGCATCTTTTACAATATTATTTTTTAAATTCTTTTGTAAACCTATTACGACATATCGTGGTTTTTCTAATTTTGATGCTGTTTTTAAATTCCAAATTATATTTCTAGATTTCCCATGTTCTGGTTATTCATGGGTTTCATAGGATCTAAATGGAATAAATAGAATTCTTCTTTTCTCTATAATTTTTAATAATATAAGTCGTTCAGAATCATCTACATTAATGTGTGGAATTTTCCAAATTACTTTATTAAGTATGACGCTACCTGTGACAGTTGTTGTGTTTACATTTTTACTTAGTAATCTATTTAAATCAGTATACCTTCTTGTTCTATTCAAGAATTTATCAATATTTTTTTAAAATCTTCAAAAAATCCTAACCAATATTTTAACTGTGTATAAACATTGAATTCTCCTTTATCATTTAGTATATTCTTACTGTTTAAATTCCATCCCACATTCTGATAGCAATAACAATTATTTAACGTACATGTTGAACATGTAACACGTAAACGTACGTGTTCTATCAACTTCTACACCATTAATTTCTAATCGAACCTGATCAAAAAGAAACGATAATCCATTATTTGACAATGTTACTATTTCTTAAATTTCATGTAGATAAGAATATACAGTAGAAACCGTTTATAATGACGTTCAAGGGACCAAAGAAAATAGGTCATATTAACCGATTGTCATTATAACCAAAATGACGAAAAAAAATTGTAACTTCAATAAGTACATATTATTATTATTATTTATTTATCCAATGTATTAAATAGAAAAAAGTAAAGATAAAAACATTTAATTATGTACATATATACATATTTAAAATAATTAGTTCAATTATTATTTTTAAGAAATCTGTAATTTTAGATTGAACTTTCAGAGCCATATAATTCGCTAAAATTTTTGCTGCATTAAACACTGCATTAATGGATAAATCTTCATCGGGAGTATTTGCTTCTTCACTATTATCGTCTTCCTCAGGTTCTTTGGATTGGTTAATCAATGAAGAAATAAGTTCTTGATCACTTAATGGTTCTAAAGTTGGCATATCATTATCAAAGTTAACATATTCATTTATGTTTGGGAAACTTATGTCTTCTTCTTCTTGTTCTCCTTGGACAGTTTGTTCTGGTATTGCATTATTGAAACCAGCGTGACGAAAACAATTTCGAATTGTAATCTCTGATACTCTTTCCCACGCTTTAAAAATCATATTTAGCACCAAACTTTTTCGAAAATAAGTTTTCATACATTTTATTACGCCTTGATCCATTGGTTGAAGAACAGACGTACAATTACTGGGTAAAAATACGAGTTTAATATTGCGTAATGCTACAGTGCAATGTGCTGGACAGTTATCAACTAAGAGTAAAATTTTTTCTTTTTTTTCTTCCCAACTCTAAATCCCAATTTAATAAAATTTTAGACCATTATCCTGCAGTTATCCAAGCTTTAGAGTTAGATTCATATGTTACCGGCAGACAGTCGCTTTTGATGTTTTTGAAACATCGTGGATTACGGGATTTTCCAATTATGATCAGTTTCATTTTTTTACCAGTCATACTTGCTGCAACTAAGTCAGACGTTTTTTGGACATTTTACCACCTGAACATTTTTCTCCTTTAAATTTTAATGTTCTGTTAGGAAGCATTCTGTAAAAAAGTCCAGTCTCATCTGCATTATAAATTTGATCATCTGTGTATCCTTCTCGTAATTTAGGCCATACTTTTTCGAGCCAATTTTGTGTTATTTCAGTATTGACTGAATTTGATTCTCCGCTTATTGTTAAAAACACAATATTATGCCTCGCTCTAAATCTTTGAATCCAACCAGTGGAACAATTAAAATTATATTTACCAAGACCTTCAGCTAATTCATTGGCTTTCTGTTGAAGAACTGGTTCATTAATTGGAATGCATAGATTTCTTTGATTTTTAAACCATCGTAATAAAACATTATCTAAATCTGTATGTGTACAATTTCTAAGTTTCTTAACTGATAATTTTTCATTTTGAAACTCACGTTCGATTTTGTCTCGAGCTTTCCATATGTTGGAAATTGTAGAGTGACCTACGCCTAATTCATTAGCTATGTCGGAAATTTTTCACCTTTTTTTAAACGAAAAATTATATTTGCCTTTTCTTCGATGATGAATTGCTTCCGTTTGCTCATTTTACAATTTCACAATTTAATTTAACACACGAACATAAAACACATTTAAGCGCACGATGATTACCCGTACACTGACGACTGACAATAAAATAAAATAAAATAAAATAAAACTGACGATTAAATAACGATGAAATTATCGGTATTATCGATATTGTAATAGTACCTTCGATAAAGTAAAGTCATTATAGATAAAATATTTTTCCAATATAACCAAAAATAACCTTCATAACATCCGTATAGTCATTATATAGACGTCATAATAACCGATACAAATTAGTACATACAATATAGGAGTTTTGCCGGGACATTTGATCTAATGTCATTACACCAAATATGTCATTACAACCGGTGTCATTATAAACGGTTTCTACTGTACATCCGTTTATTGGACCCCAATTCGAATTTCATCATTATTTATAAACGATTTAGTATACGGAATATATGAATGATTATTTTAGAATATACAGTGTAATTTGAATCAATATCTAAAATATCGCTTTCAGGCATTTTGTCTGATTTGGAATCCTAACTTTTTTAATATTATTTTGCTTTTACAAGTTAATTTGATATTTTCAGGTTTTCTTTTAGTTACTTTTGATTGTGACTCAATTGAATTATTAATCGGTTTAATCGATTGTAATTGCTTTATATTCTTAAATAATAACCCCATATTCAATATCTACAACGCCTTATATGTAACACGACTGTATTTTTTTCATTAATGTTATGAATAGGATTTTTTTTTTTGATCGAATAAACTAATATTTATTGTATTAAGTGTATAATATATTAAATTAGTTGGTGATTCAACTATTTTAGTTCCTGATCTTTTATGAGGAAAAAATTAATATATTGAGTGTGACTGTAACCCATTGTTGAATGAACCATTTGTTATATTACATAAGAATTTTATAGAATTAACAGCATTAATATTTATATTTCTCTCGGATATAAATCCTGACAAGTAATCTCCTTTTCCATATATTTTATTTTTGAATCCTAATATACTTGCAAGATTGTTTTCAATTGTGAAATCTATCTTGCAATTACAATTTATAACACAACTCATTTTAGAAACCTTATATTTTAGAAAACTCATTTTAGGACCCATAGAGAAACCAGTAGGAGTGTACCTAATATCTGATTTTAAATAATGTTCATTATCATCATAAATTTTACCGTAAATAAATTGTGGCATATCTTCAATCTCATAACATCGTATGGGGAGAACAATGTCTAAAATATGATGACAGGGTTTCGGTATAATTATTCGAATACAATTATTTGTTTCATTTACATCTGGAAACTTATTATATGTCTGCAAACATAATAATGCTATTTCAGAATTCTTGTGGAAGTTTATTTTCGGAAAATAACTTGATGTTAATGTCGTATTTTTACTTGACATGCTAACGGTAAATGATTCATTCAACTTACTCATCTTCGTTTTCAAAATTTCCTAGGACTTATTCATAATAAAATTGTTATTTTTTGTAGTTGTGTTTAATAGGATTATTTTCTTCGTCGATTAAGTCAATTTTTATTTTCCTGATAACTGAAGTATTGAGTTTATAATACATTAAATTAGTCGGTGTTTCAACTATTCTAGTTTCTGATATTTTTGGAAAAAAATTCGTATTTTACAGTTGAAATGCTGACCATTCTCGAATAAGCCTTTAGCTCAGAATGTCTTCCCATGCTAGAGTAGTCACGAATATGTGTCTGATTATCGCAAATTACATTATCAAATATAAAAATTGAATTTTTTTAAATTAAATCTGGTTTTATAACCTGATCAGCATTTGAAATCGTATAAAAATGAATACCTTTAATACTGTCTATAATATTTTTTAATAACTTATATTTCTCCTGGTTTGGTGTTTTAGGGTATAAATATATGTTTTCAAATCTTAACCCGTTTCTATGAATAACAAGATTAAAAATAAGATTTGTTTTTCTTGATCCTGAAGGTCTACCTGGTAATAATGGTCTATATCTTGATGGCTTTTTAATAATTTGTACATCAACATTATCAATGCTTAATTTATCTTTTTGCTCTTATAAATAAGCTTCCATTCGAAGCTCATATACCAGGGTATCAATTTTGTGGACCTGGAACTAAGTTAAAAGAGATTAACTCATGGAGACAAAGGTGACAATCCGTTAGATTCTGCTTGCTGAACACACGACATTGCTTATAAAAACAGTAATAATTTAGATATTAGACATAAAGCTGACAGTTATTAGAAGAACGAACTTGGGAAAGATTTAAAGCTAGTGATAGTTCAAAAAAGAGAGAAACTTGTTGCATACACAGTGGTAAATGTTGTGAAAGCTAAGATAAAAATCGGTATGGGTTGTAAGAATAAAAAAATATCATTAGCAGCGAAAAAAAATAATAAAAAATGGAGGAAAAATGGTGAGAGAATAATTTTAACTACGAATCAGTTGGGAAGTGCAAGTTACCACTTGCATCAATATTTACAAGGCTGTCAGCATTGGTAAGTATAGTTTCTAGTGCATTAAGTTTGTTTAATGTGGTAAAAATTCGTTAAAAAGGTAATATTTATATTTAAATAATTCCATTGGTAAAGGCTTAAAAGTAAAAAACAAAAACGATCAAAAACTAATGTTACCAAACAGACCACTCACCAGTGATGATACTATAAATTACGTTAAAAAGTCGAAAATCAATCATTTTCGTGTTATCCTTTCACGAGAAAACAACTAAAAAACCGAATAATATTGAATGTGCTATAATAAACTTAGATTCGTCTTCAGGCAGTGGTACTCACTGTGTATGTTATTACAGATTTAAAAATAAAGTTAGGTCATTCAAAATCATTAAAAAAAAAAATCTATAAATATAAAATTAACTCGTAAAAAAAACTAATTTTAAAACAGTTAGGATTTTAATTAAAATAAAATGCCTGAAAGCGATATTTTAGATATTGAAACAAATTATATTTCAGATTCGAAAATTAATAAAGTGGAATATCATTCATATATTCCATATACTAACTCGTTTAATAATAATGATAAAATACGAATCGGGGTTCAGCAAACTGATGTATATCCTTATTTACATGAGTTTCCTTTTTATTGAGGAAAAAATAACAGATCCAACAACGGTGAAATTGTTCAATAATAGTTTATCGTTTCTTTTTGATAATTTTTTGATTAGATATTAACGGCGTAGAAGTTGATGAAACTCGGGTTTTTTTAAATAATTAATTCATTAAAAGGATATTTGACATGTACGTTAAACAATTATCATTGCTATAAGAATGCTAGTTGGGACTTAAACAATTTGGGTATTGTTAATGAAGCAGAAGAATTAGTGTTTGTATACCATTAAAGTATTGGTTAAAGTTTTTTGAAGATTTTAAAAAAATATTAGTAAATTCTCGAATAAAATAACAAGAAGTAATACTGATTTAACTTCTTTACTCAGTAAGAACGAAAACACAAATACAAATACAGGTACTGTCACTCTCAATAAAGTAATTTGGAAAATTACACACATAAATGTAGATGATTCTGAATGAATAAAATTATTGAAAATTGTAGAGAAAGGAAAAAGTTTATTTATTCCGTTCAGATTGTATGAAACTTATGAATATCCTGAACACGGTAAACCTAAAAATATAGTTTGGAATTTAAAAACTGAATCAAAATTAGAAAAATCACGATTTGTTGTAATAGGTTTACAAAAGAATTTAAAAAATAGTATTGTAAGTTTTTTTGAACATTGTAAATTAACCAATATAAAAGTTATTCTAAACTCTGTTATTTATCCGTATGATAATTTAAATTAAGATTTTACTAAAAAAAATTATTCTGTGTTATATTATATGTACACATCATTTCAAGAATCATATTATGGGAAAGATGATAGTAAACCGGTATTGAGTCCAGCTGATTTCGAAATACGAGCACCAATTGTTGTGATAGATACTTCAAAACAAAATGATACAAGTACAGCTTCAACTGTTGATGTTACTATACAAATTGAATCTATAGAAAATCTAAATGGTGTTAGTGCTTATTGCCTTTTAATTCATGATCGTATTATAGAATATTTACCTCTTAGCAGAGAAGTAAAAAAACTTGTATAAATGTTAAACTGTATATCTTATAAATTAAATGTTTAATAATTTTATGTGCAGAATAAAAAAATCAGTAGTACCTATAAAATAATTTTTGTATACGTTATATTACACATTCTAGGTTACAACACTAGATCCTAGTACTTAATATAATTTATACCTAATAGTTTTTACTAAGGTTCTAAATAAAATATATAATTTACACGGTGTAATACATTTTTATTAATAATCTCGATGAACAATACCACACACACACACACACACAGATAAAATGAATATCCATGAAAAAAATCAATTGATAAAGTTCATAAACAATTTTATTGCTGTATGTACATTTTATATGAATCATAATGTTTTTAAGTTCACAATCGTCAGCCTACATATTGTTTAGTAATCAAGTGTAGAGTGCTAATTAAAAAAAATCTACTTTATTTATATTTTCAATGCATATTATCAGTTACTTACGAATCATTGTTCGGTGAAGTTGTTTTTTTATTTTTGAGCATAGTTACAATTTTATTGTTCGTAAAATATTAATTCTATTATTTCTATAAAATATTTTTACTATAAACATGAACTTATTAAAATATTCTAAAGATTTTCCATCATTACTACATTTAGTACGAAATAATCCATACCCGGTATACCCAGAATATTCTAGTTTTTTATCAAGACTTAAAACATATGAATCATGGGCATCAACTTTATTGAAAGATAAATATTCGCTTGCTGAATGCAGTTTTAAGTATACAGGAACACAAGATATGATACAATGCTTCTTTTGTGGTTTGATTTTAAAAAATTGGATGCAAGGAAGTGGTGATGCATGGTTTGAACATTCTAAGTCGAACCCAAATTGTATATTTGTAATATTATATAAAGGAAATCAGTTTATAGAAAATGTTAAAAATAATCATAATCATAATTATAAATCAGAAAAATCGTATGATGATTAATATATTGTAATTCTTGTATAAAATGTAATAATAAAATATTAAATTATACTAAACAAATTATATGCGTAAATACTTGATGTAATATTTCGTGAAGATGAAGTCTAATGGGTTAAGGCGGGTAATAAAAATCAAATATGATAGGTTTAAATAAAAGGTAAGGGTTATTCTATAAACTACATGAAGCTGAAGATATGACTGAAACGGAGAATCGTTTTGATGAAAATGGTGAAGACTCTAGGACTAGAGATTCCCTTCTCAATAATTACTTTGTATTAAATCCTGAAAATAATAATAAAAAGAAACAAATACAATTATTAAATTACAATTTTAAATTCATATTTGTCATTGTATTTTTTTTATTTCAACTTCCAACTTTAATGCCTCCACGCGAAGCTCATGTTCAACTTTTTCCCAATCAAAGCGTATTATTGTTCTTTCCTTTTCAACTTCAATAATTTCCAATTGTTTTTCATAGACCTCAGTCTTTTTCTTTACAGTATCACCATGCTGTCTCACTGTTTTTCACTTCAAAGATTTTTCTTTAGTAAAACCGTATTTATTTTGTTTGTTGGTTGCAACTAATAATTTTTTGTTAAGTCGTAAAGGCTGACGTAAAGTAGTTGGCGTTCAATTATCCCAATTCGTTTCATCTGCATAACTAGTTGATGGTTGGAGTAATGTTAAATCGTTTTCTTCTGGTTTTTCTTTCGTATCCAACTATAAATTACAATATATATAAAAAAAAAACATTTTAATATATTATATAGATATCTATATTTTTTTCAATAAATTTGTCTAAAATTGACTATGGTGCATTGAGGAAAAATTAACAAATACCAAATTTTAGTGACATGATTATAATAATAATAAACTGATAATAATATTATTTATCTTATTAAAGAAAAATAGTTAACATGCGTAAATTACTTTTATTAAAATTTATCATTACATTATTTTTATTTTTACTGAACTAGCTACTTTTAAGTCAAATAAAGTAATTGAATGTATTACTTTTATGTATAAGTAATGAAGAAGTAATTTAATTACTTTTTTTCATTTTGTAAAAAGTAACATAATTTTACCCAACACTGTATTTTTATGTAAAAATGTATGCTTGAAAATTCAATAATTTGTTCTAATTTAAACTAAAATA